CGCCCCTGGGGGGTGTATGTTTATCAAAGTCACGCAGCAAACGACTCAATCGAAGAATCGAGGGTGTATTAAGTGGTATTAAGTGGTAGGTAATTCTGAGTCGTTTGCTGCGTGACTTTGATAAACATACACCCCCCAGGGGCGTATTAAGTGGTATCAGAGCCCCGTTCAACACAAGGGTGAAGGAGAAGAAGACGGCTTGTGTTTAGTACGAATTCAGAATTCGTTGCAAACAAAGGAGCAGTCTGTTTTGGTTTTGTTGTTTAAAGAATTTCAATACGAAGAGCAGACATGGAGCAGATTAACATGGAGGATTTTTTAGACCAGATCGACGCGATAGTCCAAGTTCAATTGGGACAGTTCAGGCGAGACGTTATTCGGAGTTTAGATGCTGCCATCGATAGACATCTCAGTTTTATTCCGCGAAAACAGAATGCCAATTTATCTCGGCCAAATGAACTTTTGGACGTCGAGAAACCATCGAAGTCCGCCTCGGGATTCATCTCTGGTGAAGAAGAATCAACCCCGGATGATTCAAAAGAGTCGGAGCTGTCAAGCTGTGGGGTTCTTGAAGCAAACAACACGAGAGTTCGACGACTCTGTTTTCCCGCAGGGAAACAGAGTTCCAAGTTTGAAGATCTCGTCGTCGAGTTACAGTGCGATTCGACGGCCGCAGCTTCTTTGGACAAGTTTGTAGGATCCCCAAGAATGATCTCCAACCAAGATACACCTCCATATCAGCTGGAAACCACAATGCCCATCGAAACCGATCAATTCTGTTTTCTTCCGGTAAAGCAGAACTCGAGTCCGTTGAAGACATCGTGAGCTTTGCGGCTGATTCAAGTGAAGTTGGCTCAACGAATGTGTTGCTGGAGTGTCATGAGATGATTTCCCTAACGAGAATCAAAGCAAAACATCTTCGAATCGACACACCCACTTTTGCAGAAACATCTCTGCGATCGCAGGACCTTGTCTCCAAAAATGGGTATCTCGTCGGAACGACTGGGCACGAATTGAGTCGAAACAACGATGTAGAATCGTTACTTGAGGTTTTTGGAAGGTGTAGGAGCGACCAATTCGTCAAGACGATGCTTGAACAAGAAACGCCCAATTTCGAATTGAAGATTCTGGGTAAGGAAATTCTGCAGCAGAACATGTTTGAGCAGCCCACTTTCGATCCAATTTGGGATCAATTCTGTCTACGATTTGAGCAAAGAAAGGCTAAAGTGTTGAGGGCAACACTTTTTCAAGAGGGAGGGCCTAATATGATCCCAAATGGTCCATTGTACACGTTTAAATTACTTTACGAAGAAGCTATCGAAGTTGGGAAGAAGAAAGGCAGAATTTGGCTGTGTCAAAATCCGTGTTCAGGGTACATACTTTGGAGGCATGGTTCTCTCAATTGGCTTGGTGGAAATTCCAGTTCAAGGGCTTGTTTTACACACAAAGTTGTCATGTTTCCAATGGTATGCTGTATGGATCCAGAAGATGTGTTTAAGGTTGTTTTCCAAGGCCTCAAAGTTGCTATCTCAAAACTGGAAAACTGCCAGAAAATGGTTAAGTCTGGAAAGTGTTTTGTGAAGCCTACTTTGGAGCTTAATTCGAGGAGTATGGATCTGATTCAAATCCAAAGGCTTCCACAACATGAAACTAGGTATGTTTGTGAACAAAGGGAAGGAATTGGATGAAGAATTGGAGTTCGGGAAGGCCTTCAACAAAAGGCGCAAAGTTAGTACGAAAGCTTCCTTTTGACTGTTTTCCGGGCAGCTTACTTGTGCGCCAAGAAAGGAAGTTTATGGCCGAATTTTGAATCCTTTTTAGAGTTTGTTTTTACCTTAATTGTTTCCTTGTTCATCTAGATTTGTATTAGGTTTTATTGGCTATAAATAGCCCTCCATTTACGTTGTAAAAACAGAAGACTTTGATTAATCGAATTGAGAACCTTTTGGTTTTTGTGCAAGTTGCGACTTGTGTTGAGTTTGGTGGATTCCAAGCTCGTGAGCTCTTGTATCGATTGAATAGTCACTTCAATCGTGGTCGGGCATCTACCTTTTATACCAATCGAGTGTTCCCCAGGTGTGGAATCGTCCTTTTGGTTCCGTTTTATCCAAGTTCGTATTAAGAACGCTTCGTTCTTGATTCGAGCTAAATCGATCCTTCGATTGAGTCGTTAGCTGCGTGACTTTGATAACATACACCCCCCCTAGGGGCGTATTAGTAGGATTCCCTTTGCTAAAGCGATCGCGGAGATCTTCCCATATCTCTTGCGTTGTCTTGGAGTGCATGATGCTACTCCGAACTTTACGTGGTATCCCCACGTGTACGGGAACGAGACTAGTCCACGGGAGAGGAACACCTCTAAGGTTGTGTATTTTATTGATAATGTGGCAGGCGACCACACAAATATTTATACCCTTTGTATCTATTTACTAGGGTTACACATGAAGGCCATGTTGGGTTCGTGACAGTGTGGGCCGAGGGACAAGTGGGTTGGGTTACCTCCAATAGTCATGCATTACCCTTCTTGAATGCGACTATGCGAGCATGATTTTTTAAAAGAGGAGCAGCAGGGCAAGGGTCTTGTGAAACTCCGAATTGAGGTTTATGGTCGTGACTAGTGACGACTTGATACCCTTGCTCTGCACGAACATGATCGTTTTTCTCATGAATCTTTCAAGACTCCCACCCAGTACTTCCTAAGTTAAAAGGGGCACCATGTAAGAAACTCGCTTCTTAGGGCTTCTAGGGACTGATCTTCGGCACCCGTGAATACTCGTATGAATAGGAATCTAGGGTTGAGATTAGGGATTTAGATGAGAAAGAACATAATAGAATTGGGAATCGGCCAAGACTTTGTATTGTGAGAGAATAGAAATTAGGAGTTGAGAGGATAAACTAGGGTTTAGGAGACTTTTCTTAATATTCTTCTTCATTGATTATGACGTAAACCCAAAGTACATATTTATAGGGATAATACGAGAAAACCCTAATAATAATCCTAATTCGACTAGATCTCTACTAACCATAATTATAATTATCCAACCTAATATAATAATAGAAACCCCAAATAAATGTGTTTCTGACAATCCATCCCCATTGAAAACAACCTTGACCTCATGGTTGTAGTTGACTTCTACCTCGACCTTCTGCTTTCTTCGTTTCCAATTGCGCTTGATCCCTTGAATGAACTCTTCTCCACCCACGTGACATATGTCACGTTCTCCATAGTCGAACAATTCTTCTTCTTCCTTTTCGAAATTCACAAAGTAAGAATTGGAGAATCGTTCTTCCTTGTGCTCCAGCTTGAGGCTTTGCTCCATGGGGTTGGTGGTGAAAACAGCCCATAAAATATTCCCACCTTCTATTCTTTCACCTTGATCTAGGCCCACATTTAATTGGAAGAAAGAGTTGTGGCCCAAAATATTGTCAAGCCTCTTTGTGTACTCCTCCTTAATTTTGTTTGAGCTTGATTCCCTTGTAAGCTCAGCTGCCAGGGTAAGAACCCACTCCCAGCCTTCATTCTTCAAAGGACGGCCCAAACGCAGCACAACTTCTCTATGAAACTCGTTGGGCTCACTCGGCCCGCAACCAGTCTTTTCCTCAGTCCAATTAATCTCAAGATATGGCCACCCTTGCTGAAGCATCTAGCCCAACTCGAGGCCATTGTTGTTCCGCCTCTGACCAGCCCAACTGTGCCTCTCTACTCGGCTCAACCGCACTCTACCAGCTAGTTGGCGTGACCTAGGGTTGCAGAGGAAGAGACGCGGCCTAGGGTGGCTGGCGGAAGGGCGCCACCTTCCTTCTTCCTCTCACCTTCCCGCCGACGGCCAGGCGGCCCTTCCGACCCCGCCCCATCTTCTCCTCCTTGTTCCTCATCGGCGACCACTCTGTCTTTTCCGGCGGCGCTTGCTTCTTCTTGTTCGTCGACGAAGCAAACTCGAGGAGGTTGGAAGGAGGGTTCGACACGACGTTCCTTTCCTCCGACGGCGAGTCTTCGACCCAACTGGTAGGAGTCGAGCTTCAGCTCCCTGCCTCCTTCATCTCTCCCCGCAGAATCAACGCCGTCCTCGGCTGGATCTCCACGCTCCCGAACGTCTGAACCTCATTGTTTGTGTCAGATTGAGCGGTCGCGACCATTGCTCTGCCTGCGGCCAGAGTTGTCGCTGGTGGTTTGTCCGGCGGCCACGGTGGTAGGACGGAACGCGACCTTGATGCAACTATAGTTCGGATCACCTATTGGTTCGGCTCCAGTGACAATGACGCAGCAGTGGTCGGGTTTGCCTCATGAGAGACGGACGAAGTGACCATCCCGCCCCTGGGATGTCGTTTGCCGTGGTTGACTGCTCGATCAACGACCCTTCCCCGTCGTTCTCTGACACCCCGACTAGTACAACAACAACGATGGTGATTTTCATTGCCTCCAGCGACGCGGCTGCGGTTATGACAACTCCAGGGGCCGCTACTGATGCCAGAAACTGGTGAATCGCGGCCTTGGTGAGTTGTGGTGTTGTGATTGCCGTCACCGGGACCTCCTCGTCCCACCAGTGAATACTCGTACGAATAGGGATCTAGGGTTGAGATTAGGGATTTAGATGAGAAAGAACATAATAGAATTGTGAATCGGTCGAGGCTTTGGATTGGGAGAGAATAAAAATTAGGAATTGAGAGGATAAATTAGGGTTTAGGAGACTTTTCTTAATATTCTTCTTCATTGATTATGATGTAAACTCAAAGTACATATTTATAGGAATAATACAAGAAAACCCTAAAAATAATCCTAATTCGACTAGATCTCTACTAACCATAATTTTAATTATCCTACCGAATATAATAATAGAAACCTTTCTAACACAAAAAAAAAATGATGTGTTAGAAAGGTTTTTTTTTTTCCCTCAAAAAAGAATTTCTAACACTCCACTCCATAGCTGGATCTAACCTAGTGTCTAGGGCGTGTTCGAGACATATTCCTCGTAATCATTTTCAAGGACACTCTGGGAAACCGTCTTCAAGGAGACACTACTGCCCACTAATGTAAGGAAAGCAAATCAAGAGTTGATACAGCACTACATCAATCGGTGAAATAACAAGTCAGCTCAAATGGTCCATGTTTGTGGTAACATTTTCTACAGTTACAAATTACCTAGGAAGCAGCTTGGACCCTTTAGGCCAACTGCTTCATTTATACCAGTTCCGAAATCGGCCCTAAACAATAATTTAATACTATGAAAATTGCTACATAAGATTACATCATATTTACTTACAAGTTACAATACAAACTAAGCTTCATCTTCTTCACCTTTCTTCGCCACTATCTGCTTCATCGCTCTGTTGGAGATGGACGTGAGTGCAAAGTCTCTCTGGTTGCCCCTGCGTCCATAGAACAGCAAGGTCGCCTCTCTTCTTCCCCAGTGCCAAAAATGTTCCTGCATGGGTTGAGGGAGGATGGATGGCTCAATCATTTGCAAGAGAAAGATGGCAGAAGGCTTTCTTGTGCTGTGATGTTTTTTCTCGAATTCCAAGTGTCTTACCGAGGGTGAAAGGAACAATGTAGAGAAGAGCTGGCTGGCCATGCCCGTCCATCAAGTTGAGTGCAATGTATGTAATCAGAAGGCCTGTTTACAACAATGGAACGCCTAAAAACATCAGTTCAAGAAGGTGGTGAAGAACAAAGGTAAAGCGATTGAGTAAACAATGAATATGAGATGAAATTGATTACCTAGCCCATAAGCCAACATGGCATACAAGAAATATCCAGCTCTAAGAGTCTTGTTCGCCAACCAATCATACCTGGAACGAGAGGGTGGAGTAGAAAGAAATCACAAGACAGTTAACAGCAGCAGCAGAAAGTTGACATGCTACTCATGAGAAATTACGGCATTATTACCTAGACACCTCCAGATGGCCAAACATCTGACCATTTGAAAGCAAATGACCCAATCTTTTCAAAATGACGAGAAGAGACAAGGACTAGAGGAATAGTGATAGAGGTGAAAGCCTGAACCTGATTGCAAAGGCTACAAGTAATCCAGGTAGAAGTATGTCACCAAACCCTATAATGCTGTAACCACCCCAAGGATCAAAGAGACGTGGTATCTTTAACAGCATTGGGATGCCATCCTCTCCACTCTTATCACCACGAGCTACCTACATTGAAAAGAAGAATCAACCCACATTTCTCGAATGTGAAATAACATCAAGGATGAAAACCGAAAGTCACACACTGTGGACTTGGAGCTTACCACAATCATGACGCTCTCGTGGAACAGCTTCTTAGAGACAAACACCCAGAAGATGTCATATAAGAACGCACAACTGAGAAGAACAGTGCCAACCTAGTTACCAAAACATCCAGAAACAAGTGGAGCTCAGGTACAACATTTATACTATCCTCTCAGATAAATAAACAAAGGTAATAAAAGAGATCTTACCTTGAGATTGGGTACATGGACAATCTGTAGAACGGTGAGTATCAGAGCAATCCCCTGGTAGGAAAAAGTTTAGTGAAAAGTCTAAATAACCCACTTAAGAAGTTCTACAACAGTGGCATGCTTTTATACTCGATAAAAAAATGCTTCTATGAGACATTAAGGTATACATTCAACAGGATGGCATCATAAGTACGACAATTAGCAACTAAAACGGCAATCCTACAGCCAAGAGCCTAGAGCCCTAGACTACAGCATTCTTTGTGCCCTAAACGCACTTCCTTAATAAACTTGCATGTAAAGAAGCAAGAAACTCTTAATTGTTTTTCCTAACACCCTTCATTCGACAGTAGCATCTTTCTGTTTGAACGTAAACTATACAAACTAAGTAGATATCAACTCTCCACCCTAGTAAATCTTGTATAACATAGATTAGCCCTAACCTATGTTTCTGAAATGCAATGATGTTACTCCATGTCTCTGTACTACATTCATGAACAATATTTCAGGTTCTTTGTTCTGGCTAATAGCTATAAGAAGCCCTCACTTTTTCTCAGTAAGCAAGTCTCCATTTAATAGGATGGCATGAAAAATGGAGCGCAAAGATGGAAAGATACTAAAAATATATTAGCTGAGATGTTTCTTTCCATAAGACAGACTTAGAAATTGATTTAGTAAACCAATACAACTAAATCAGGAAATGATGAGGACAGGATCCTTACAAGAATATCTTGTCCTATCCAAGCATATGGAGTATTCCGATAAACAGCCCAGACCACAGCAAAAGTAATGCACAATGGGGACACAGCCAGTGTTAGGTATGAGACCGCTCCCAGAATAGGTACTTTGATAAATGATTCCCCAGCACGCCTGAACCACCTATTCAAATATTTCTAACATTGATTATCAACATCAAAAGGACAACAAAATGCATAAAAGGTCACCAAATGCATAACCGAGTAGTCTTCATGATCTTCGACCTGTAAGTTCTGTTCTTACTGAAAATAGAACAACTGCAAGTGCAATGACTTCCCGTCTAAGAAACAAAGATTCAAATGGTTTTGAAGTTTGTTCAACTTCAGTGAGATTATAATCCCTTCTCTGTCAGCTTTTTCCCAGGTGCACAAAAGCATTTGGACTCAAACTCTTGGGAAAGCACTCAAGTCATCAAGTCAACTGAATGCTGAAGGATATGATCACTAAATAAAAGTTGCATCAGGCTTGTTCATTTCATATTTTCTTGCTTGGCTCGCTGTTAACTTGAAGATATATTACTGATTTAGTTTACAGAACTAACGGGATGTGGCAAATTGGTTTCAATTCAAAAAGATGAGCAAGCATACAGGATAAGATTGGGTCACAACAGGAATAGTAGTAAATAGAGTTGCTATAAGTAATGATAAATTGCAGGATATGGGGATCATGCCAATGCTAAAATTGTGGTATTGAGGATGCTTTAGAGTAAAAAATGGATTCTTGTAATCCCTGAGAGATGCTATGTGTAAGAGCTACTCAGCTAGTTCTTAGGGGTCTCTTGCTTAACTGGAAAATAATTAATGTTATTTGCCACTACAAAATGTATAGCGCAATGAAACCAAAGTCATTGAGACAGAAAGAGAAACAAAAGTACTTACCTTGACAACAAAGCAACCAAACAAGTTTGCAAACCCTGCAGATTCACGAAACACAATGTTAAAAAGTCTATTGAAAGAAAGAAAAGAACATTACCAGCTAACAAACATATACATTTCAAGTTATCTTCTCTGACCACGTGAAAAATAAGGAAAGATGTATGAAATATATGAAGCGAGAAGGAAGACATACCTCTACCCCACCTATGCAGAAAAGGACTACCAAAAGCTCAATGAACCAGTATGACATAAGTTTGTAAAGTAAGACCAAGAAGCATGAAGCGACCACAACAAACAGCACGGCAGTGGTTGTACTAATGTCTACAACACTATTGAGCTCAGATCTTTGATTGGGAATTCCTTCCGCAGCATCCTACAAAAAAGAACCATAATGAAGCAATTTTAGAGACAATAAAGCTAGACCCTTATATGGAACATATATGATATGTCACCTTCAATAGCTTATCTTGCTCGGTAGCAGCTTCTCTGGCACTCCAAGCTGACCAATAGGAAGCACACAAGATAGTGCCGACAGCCATCAACCATAGGAAGACCTCAGCTATATCAACTATAGGCCTCTTAGGAGAGTAAAGCTGCACAGACACTGCAAACAGTGACAGAAAAGAAAGTTGCAGAGAGATATGCTGTTAGAAGTAAATATTCCCACGAAATAATACTGGAAAAGGAGCATAATTGCTATGCAAAGCAGAAGAGAGATAAAAGTGGAAACTATTGAAGTGCAGATGAGGCAAATATTCACGTTCAGCATAAACAAAGAGCTTTACCTGAATCATTAGTCAATAGCATTTTTTCCAATGTCACACCAGCATCCTGGGGCAGCATAACAGCAGGTATGTGTATATCTAGATCTGTTTCATCGGGTTCGCAAACCATCTTGTAAAGTTCTGCAGTGAAAAAGAAAGAAAGCAAGAAGATTAATGAACGCCAAGTCATATGAAACTGCGGATTTGGAGTCCTACGTACAGATAAAATGTCTATAATACGGTTAATCATAATGATTCGAGAGACGGATCAATGAGATGAATACATAAACCAAGGAATAAACATAATTTGAACAGAACATAAGTGAAACAAAATAGCTGACATGACTGCATGTCATAAGTAATCTTCCCAGCTTAAGCAACAAAATCATAACCATTGTTTGCCCAAAACCATACCCATTGTTTGCCCAGATATCTCTTCTGAAAATCAGTTGCTCTAGACTTGCATTGCATAACATCCACCATTATAATACTAACCTTTTTGGTTGTTTATAATAAGGATAGCAGAAGCACCAGCACCCTCTGCATTGTTGGCTTTTGCAGTGAACTTGCAACCGCCTCTGTCAACCATGATTACATCTCCAACAAGCTGACAATTGGAAAGATATTAGCATCACAAGTAAACTCAACAGGTCATCAAATGCAATACCATCGAGCACATGAAAGATAATATGAAATTCACTAGATTGATTGGAAAGGGCAAAACCTTGTTCTTAGGCGGTTCACAGCAATCCCGTGGATCCGAAAGAGTAAGACGAGTCTGGTTAGCATTTTTCTCCTTGGACACAATGACAGTGCCAAATCTAGCACCTACACCTACAAATTCAGCATCCTCTTCACCATTCACCCAAGTTTGAACTTTCACCTGATCACATCAATCGCAAATCGAATACAAAAAAATATCATTCAGCTGTTTAGTAAAGGATCATAGCTAAGAAGCTCCATCCTAATGAGCAACCTTTCTTGCAAACCATTTTATCAGTCTAAAAGCATTTTTTTCCATAGTCTCTAGAGGTGCACCTCAATGATTACAGGCCTTAAAGGGGATAGACTTCATACGAACCCATGAGCCAGAGAATGCGTAAGAGCAAAGGAAATTCCTAGAAAATATTATCAGTTCACATACAATGACTGAACAAAATTATTACAAACTTCCAGTCAAATTCGTTACCAACAACTCCCAACCAAAGTGTTAGAGCAAAGATCTCTCTACATCGCCTGATATCAGCAGCAGGCATTCCAATGACAGCAAAAGCAATAAAATCAGAATGTATAACTATTTTTTTTCTCTCGCCCAAGTTGGAATCTTTAACTACCCGAAAATTCAACCAGTTCACCTGAACCAAACCCATAAAACCAAAATTATATTTTTTATTGGCAACCAAAAAAATTCCTACAACCTACAGACGACTCTGAGGCAACCAACATCCAATCAAAGGAGAGCCCAGTTGAGAAATCATCAAAAAGGAGAAGTGGGGACGAGAAGTAAAAGGCAGCAGCATTATGTGCTGACTCAGGGAGTTCAATTTTACCAAGATGAAGTCATTGTCGCAGCCACGCTTCTTTGGAGCTAAAGCATCATGATGAACTATATCCCCTGCCGAGGCAGGATAGGAGCAACAAACGAGCGAAAGTAGAGCTGATAAACTGATCACGAAGCTCAGCTTTAGCGAATCCATGTAGTCCCCTTTCTGGGTTCTACTTCTCCACTGCACATCACAAAGAATTCCAGAGCAGGAAGAGAGAGACTGGAGAGACTTGCTTTTACGGGAGCAGTAAAGTAAAATAATAATAGAGGGGGAAAAGGTTTGGACTTTCTGTTATTAAAATTTTATTCTTTCTGAATTCGAGGAAATAGGAGAGATGTGAAGCAAATATGGATCTCCGCCATTAATAGAGCACAGCGAAGGGAAAATGGATAAAGAAGGACCCGAAATGATGGAACTGACGTTTTCCAGATGATGAACAAAGGGACGGGATACGGTGACAACCCTTAAGGGGTTGTGAGATTCACAAACAAGGGTATTTTGGGTATAAGAAAAAGGAATATATTAATTACCTTTTTTGTATGAATTATATTGGGAATTAAAAACCCATATTAAATACAATTTTTTTTCTGAAATTTAAATCCTATACATTAATATCTCTATCTATCTCTCTCTCTTCCTTTCTCCAGCAGCCACTCCACATCGACCGACAAACTTTTTCTCCGGCGAATTCTCTCCGGCAGACTCCCTCCGGCAACCTGAAAAAATGTACCAATGCGTTAAAAAGTGTACCAATCTATTAGTCTACTGGTAATTAATATACCAGTGCTAGTGGTACGCTACCAGTACGTTAAAAAATGTACCAGTACTAGCGGTACCAGTAAAAAATGTACCAGTGCTAGTGGTACGCTACCAGTACGTTAAAAAATGTACCAGTACTAGCGGTACCAGTAAAAAATGTACCAGTACTAGTGGTACGCTACCAGTACAACGGTACCACTACCATATTGGTAGCGGTACCAATAGAGAATAACACAACGCTACTAGCACTGGTAGCGCTACCACTAGCATTGGTAACGGTACCAGTAGAGAATAACACACAAAAAAAAAATCAGATGATAGTGGTACCAGATGATAGGGGAGCCACTGGTATTGGTACCAGTAGAGACAAACAAAAAATCAGATCGTCGTCCCTCCCACGGCGCACGGAACCAACCCAATGGCATCGCTACCGCCGCCGCACAAGCGATCCCTCACGGAATTCGCGAACGACATGCCGGGGCCCACCCCGCAAGCTTTCCCCGCGTCGATGTCGGCGTGGAGAGGGACTGCCGCCGTAGCGGAGATCGGCTGAGAGGCGGAGGATTGCATGGTGAGATTCGCACTCCGGCGGCACGATCCCGTCCCAGATCTTTTTGTGGTGGTTGGCGATTACGCCGCTGCGGCCGGCCATGTTGCTCTGGCCCGATAGGATGAAGACATGCGACGGTGAATCCTGCTGTACGGGAGAGAGGGAGGAGAGAGAGAGGGAGGATGGAGGGTTAGGGTTTTTTTTCTTTTTATATGGTAGGGTGAATGATTGGGTGTGGTAAATTTTTACCTTTCCAAAAATATCCTTCCTTTAATCTTAACCGTTAATTTAAAAAAAGAAGAAAGAGACAGGAGAGTGAACGTATCCAAAGGCTATGAAGTGGGTTTGTCACCGTATCTAGTCCCATGAACAAAGGTTTGCGGTAATACCGCGTCCGTCGTTCGTTTCTTTCTGCTTTCCGTTTTTCTTTTTTGTTTTTGTCACGAGATGAAAAGTTACTATTATAATCGTGGACGCCGTTTTGGTCAAAAAATAAAAAATAAAAAAATAATCGTGGACGCCGTCTATTGACGGTGGGAAGAGTGGAGCGACGGTTTTCCGTACCAGGTGGGACAAAGTTGATGAAATTGACGTCTAAACCGTACCGTTTGGCGTCTGGTAGTACAGAGTAATGTATTTTGCAAATTGCAATAATGCCAATGGCCGCCTCGGCCCAACTCCAAAGGCATAAATAGACCTTACAGACATGACCGTTTAATCAAATGTGGCCGTCAATGTGTTCGTACATGTTTTGCAGTCTAGGTTGTTAACCCGATCTAGTCTATTGGCCCGGTTTAATAAGTGGGTTGAGAGTGAATAATTAATCAGGTTTAGTTTGGATATAGGGTTATAGGTATAATATGTCGTTCTATTATGACGTTTTATTAAACATGCTCCTCTATTATTTTTTACATTAAATATGCCCCTGTACTTTGAAAAAATTATCAAACATGCAATTCTATTAAAATTTTCATTGAAAAAAATCGTCAATCATGGTTGAACCGAGATTTAGACGACCCAACATCGACAAATGGGAGGAAAAATGTTAGTTTTGTCCGCTCTTTTATTTCCCTATGTCTTTTCAAAGTGAAATTATTTGAATGATTTGATTATACAAAAGAACAAAAAAAAATTATAAAGTGAATTTATTAGGGATATTTTAGTCATTCGTGTCGCCCAAACTAAAGTTCGGCCTTGTTTAAAGGTTTTTGGATGAAAATTTTAACAAAAGGGCATGTTTGATCATTTTTACAAAGTACAAGGGCCTGTTTGATGTAAAAAATAGTAGAGGGCATGTTTGATAAAACGTCATAGTAGAGAGGCATATTATACCTATAACTCTTGGATATATATAAAAAACTTATTCTAATGTTCATACATTTATTAATTATATATAATCTCATATAATATATGACATATAATATTACATCAAAATAATAGGTCGTACTTTGATCCAACATATAGTGAAAATTCACACACACTTATATATCATCAATACTCAAATGTTCAACTTAGAATTCCAAATATAGGGTTAGACGAAGAGTAAAACCGAAAAAGAGGCATTTCATAAACCAAAGGAAAAAACGACATCGTGTGACCTCCAACTCGTTAACCTTGCAGTGCAAGTCGACCCACATGTATGTCTGGCCCATTTTTTTTCACTCGATATAGATCAAAATGGGTCAACCGATTGGTCGACCCGCAATTGGCAACCTTGGTCTTTAAGTCAAATGAGTATCCTTAATCCCCTTATCAATATCGTGCAATGATTGAGATATATTGTGAAAATTTGGTTAGGGAATGCTCCTTTTTCTCTATGATTATATTTTGATTATGCCCAAATGCATAACTAAGAATTATGCACACTGCCCTATATCATTATCTAAGTATTATCTCCTTATTTCCTGGATTAGAAATGGAAAGTTATATATATGTAATATGTAGCCCGTAACTCTTGACTCTCCCCTCTTCCATTTGTTCAATTGAATTCCGTAGTTATGTGTCACATCATGGATTTAATTATCATTAAGACTATCTTGTAATTGCTACTCTGAGTCTGATAGCAGCTAAACTTGGGGAACAAGATATTGTGCTTGATTAGGTACTCGACCAACCCACTATGATTATCTTGGTCCACCCACCCCAAAATTCTCTTATGCCTAAACTCACCTTTGAGTCCTCTGCCTATTTCACAGAGTCAAAGGATTAAAGCTTTCATTCTCCACCACAAAGATTCTGATCTGTAAGAACAGCTGATAGCATCAATTAATATTTTCGCCAAAACCATAGTGCAACTTTGGAGTTTCCAAGAGACCCCATCTTAGTACTTTACTTCTCCAAACATGTTTATTGTTAGAGTTCTGATAAAATCCGGTGCATTAATGCTTGTATGATTACCACTCATGAAGCATCACTACTCCAAGGGGGAATATGCAATCTGTTGACACAGCAAACATATACATGAACCTTATCATCTCCAGATTCCCCCATCACATAAAAAAGAGCAGATGCCAAAGTGTGTTAGCAGAATGGAGCGTTCTTCCCTCCCACACTCAATCTCACAGTAGCTACATAAATGGGAAAAGGGAAGATTCTTTCTTTCTTGCCAATTGCCATATCGATTGGTCACTAGGAAAGATAGAATTTTACCACCGATATTGTAAGTTCAGAACAGAAATCAGTAGAGAGACTCGGTTTTTACTGGACGTCCTTGCGCCCAAAGGATCTGAAGCTCTCCTCTCTTCTTTGCCAGTGTCAAAATAGTTCCTGCAACATTCGCATTGATACCGAATTCCTTTGTTAGTGAAGAAGGCAGAATTGCTTCTTTTGCATTTGCATTATAGCCGCAATTTTATTTTAATTACCGAGGGTGAAAGGGACGATGTAGAGCAGTGCTGGCTGGCCATGGCCATCCATCAAGTAGAGTGCAACGTATGTGACCAGAAGACCTGTTCAGACAGCAATAGCACCAGCTTCTTTATAAAAGCTGATGAACTGGATATAAACATAGGTTTATCTCTATCTTGATAGTTCGAGTTCCTTACCTAATCCATAAGCGACAATCGTGTACAAGAAGTATCCAGCTAGAAGACCTTTGCGTGCCAGCCAATCATACCTGCACAGATAATTGGAGTACACAAAAATAGTATTAAAAAAAACTAAGCAAGACTCCATATTTATGGAAGTATATTGGTGTCTTGATTCGTCTTTTGAAACATCAATCTTTTTACAGAAACAGAGACAGGTTTGAAGTAGGAACCTGAGTGAAAATGCAACGAGTAACCCAGGTAGAAGTATGTCACCAAAACCTATGACACTGTAACCACCCCAAGGGTCCAAGAAGCGTGGTAATTTCAAGAGCATTGGAATGCCATCCTCTCCACTATCACCACCACTAGCTACCTATGGTAAGAAAAGATACCAATCAAATCATATTCTCAATAAATTCTTGTTGAATCGATAGTGAAGGTTAAAACTGAAAGCATCTTGCATTAGCATTGTATGTATCACAAGGCTCTTACCGCAATCATAACACTAACATTGAATAGCTTCTCAGACACAAACACCCAAAAGATGTCGTACAAGAATGCACAACTGAGAAGAACAGTGCCAACCTAATAAATAACAAGTAATCCAGATCAATATCAGTAAAAGATAAGTAACATAATAATGCCAGCTTACAGAAGCATATGGTCCAGGTATTTAATCAAAAGAAATGCTGGACATCAATAACATGATATAAAAATTTAAAATTACCAACATTTTCAATGTAAATACCACTGATCAAATGTCAATTAACTTCATAAGCAGACTCTGCCCAGTAAGTTAGTAAAGGGCTATGTTTCTTAAACATATGATCGTACAGCAGGTTGAGTCTCTATGATCACTAGGTTGACCCTAGGGTAAAGTAAGATAATACATTTTGATATTGCACAGAGGAACCATGGGGTGGTACAAAAAATATGACCAGTTAACCATCCACACCTTCTGCAGTAGAGTAAACAAACCTAAATATAGTACCTTGAGATTTGGTATTTGGACAACTTGAAGAACGGTAACAATTAGAGTGATGCCCTGGTTGAAACAAGAAAATTTTAAGAAATTATTAGATTAAGTGCCTCATATAATAAATTCTGCTACAGACTAGGGGATATTCAGATCTGCATGCAACAGTGAGATGTACATAAGGGTGAAATACCAACAGATCATGAAAATCGTTATGTGCTTCACCAACTTTTCTATTTCAAAGTAAACTAACAATCATAAGCATACATGATGGCAGTTACTTTGACAAACATAATGTGGTCATTTTCTTTCCTACACCAAGGCTGCGAAGAGCTCTAAAATAACGCCAGGTACATCAACAACAAAAATGGCAAACAGTACATCTCCCCCTCACCATGAAACCACCTCTTGATAGGGCAAGGTCTATAATGTTTATTCTGCTACTAATACTTTTTTTAGTAATCATGAAATGAAGATAAGAAGTATAAGACAAAACCTGGACATCCAGAGTCCATTCTTTTGAATGGAACTACCCAAGTCCTCATATGTACTTTTCTGAAAAGCCAATGGTATCACCTTGAAGAGCAAGTTTATTGAAGTTATCTGATCCCTACAGGCATTGGACTGTCTGATGTAATTTCCCATACGTTCATTTTACAACTCTCTGAGGCTTGCTTAAATAGATTCTTTCCGTTATCTAATTACTAAACAACATGCTCAAAGTATTAAAAGCTCGGGTCATGCATGAACTGGAATCTGTTCAATCAAGGTCTTTAGTTTAGCTAGTAGCTAATTGAATCCCTTCCTTCATCTTAATAAATAGGGTGACAACCATAGCGGCATGACAATACATAGACAAGGACATAGTGAGGATACTATACCTACAAGGCTTGACTTATCCAGGCTAGTGAGGATACTGTACTTACTCAAAGCAAAATAACGCTAAGATTTATTATTATTAGTAGTATATTTAATAAGCTAAAGAAGTTTTGTGCTGTCACAATTTCCTGTAACAATACAAACCAAACTCTACTAATGGCTATGGTTCTCTGAAGCCTTCGACGACCAAAGAGATAAGCATACAAAGACGAGGAAATAGCGAGGATAATATACTTACAAGCACATCTTGACCTATCCAGGCTAAGGGGGCATTGCGATAAACAGCCCAAACAACAGCAAAGGCAATGCAGAATGGAGAAACCGCCAAAGTTAGGTATGAGAAAGTTCCCAAAACAGGTATATTAAGGTATGAATCACTGGCACTCTTGAACCATCTGCACAAATAAGTTTGATTAAAATTATAAACCTTGCTATATAAAAATTATTGACAACCGTGGAACGTCATTGCTCTAAAACAATTCATCTCATCTAAAACCAATTGACAGAAAAATAAGCTTCGATAACTATTAAAAAGGGGAAGTAAAATGCTTGATATTGCATGGAATCCATTAATCTAATGATCATCACAACTTCGCTGTTACATTATCACCAGCTGTTAATTGGTACTCGCACTCATCAACAAAAAATAATTCACATAATCCACAACGTAAGTATGCATCACAAAATAACATGCATGATAATACTATACCTTGACAAGAAAGCAACCAAACAAGTTACCAGACCCTGCAAGCACATTTAGCCACAGTTAATTAAAGATTCAAAAGATAAGAATCTTAAAGCCAATTCACATATGACATATATATATCAACGATGTACAAGAATTGGAACTTAGATGCCACTGGAATAAAATAAAAAGGCAAATAAGTATGTCAATGAAAGCAAAACAATAAAAAAGAAGAAAAAAAAACTGCACCTCAACCCCGCCTATGCAGAAAAGAATCACCAAAAGCTCAACGAACCAGTACGACATAAACTTGTAAAGCAAGACCAAGAAGCAGGAAGCTACGACCACAAACAGCACAGCGGAGGTTGTATTAATGTCCACAATACTACTGGCACCAGATTTTGTATCGGGAATTTCTTCCACAGCACGCTACAAGAAGATTCATAAAGGAGTGAGTTAGACAAAAATGAAGCACAGTGCTTGCTCATAGAGAGTGTATAAAAGGTCACCCTCAATAGCTTTTCTTCTTCAACAGCAGATTCTCTGGCACTCCACGCAGACCAATAGGATGCACATAAAACAGTGCCAACAGCCATCATCCACAGGAAGACTTCAGCTAAATCAATTAGTGGCCTCTCAGGAGAGTACAGCTGAACAGACACTGCAAATACAAAGAGAAGATAGAGCACAGAGTTAATGAATTAGAAGTAAATGTTACCCTAGAACAGTAGTCCACATGATAAAGTGGTACCACCTAGAACAGAAAGATGTACAGACTCGGAAACAAAATTCGCATAATTAAGTAGTTTTTTCAACTTCAATATTCCTTTTCCTAGGAATAATTAAACGATTACAAATTCAAATGAAAAGATTTACCTGAAGAATTGCCCGCTAGCAATTTTTCCAAGAACAAACCAGCATCCTTAGGGACCATAACAGCAGGGATGTGTATATCTAGATCAGTTTCATCTGGTTCACAGACCATCTCGTAGAGATCTAAAAAAAAAGGGAAGAGCTTCAGGCAAACCAAACTGAGGCAATTAATTGTAGAGCACACCACGAAATCATATCCTCTAATATGTAACAGCTACAGGATGAAAAGCATTGGCAACATGCATCACATAAAACAGTTAGCTAAACACTCACCGTTCTCGTCATTTATTATAAGAACAGCAGAAGCCCCAGCTGCCTGTGCATTAACAGCTTTGGCAGTGAAGGTGCAATTGCCGCGATCAACCGCAACAACATCTCCTGTAAACTAACAACACAGAGAGATATTGGCCTTATGGATGATTCAAACAGGCAGGATGGCAATACCATTTTTAAGAGAAAGATTTCTCAAGATAGATGTAATGTAGAACCTGATTCTTAGGTACAGTACAGCAATTTCGGGGATCTGAAAGAGTGAGATGAATCTTCTTAGCTTTTCCCTTCTCTGACCCAACAGTAGTGCCAAATCTGGCCCCAACACCAACAAATTCAGCACCCTCTTGTCCGTTCACAAAAGTTTGGACTTTAACCTAACACAAAGGAATCACAGGATCAACAGTTGGCCACTCGAAGAAGCTGCAAACCTAATAACTCAACTTCTGCTAGTAATCATTCTACCGATCTAAAAGAATATGGAATCCCATAAGGTAATTGCATTTGAAAAACCCTAAAACTGGTAGCCTTTTAGTGTTCTGAGTACACCATCTGATTATCTCGAGGAACTGAATAACTGACGACTTACATAGTAAAATTCATCAATTCACCAAATATAACCGCGAAGGAAGTTCAGAAGTCCTACAATCAGACACAAAATTGCAACTTGGAACAACCAATGTCCAAATTAAAATCTTCAACTAACCCCCATCACGAGCTAACCGACCCGCGAAGGAAAAGTTTAAGCGATCGACAGTTGAAGCAAACAAAACCCAGTGGGTGAATCGCAGAAAGAAGGACTGGGAAGGAGAGACAAGGAAGCATCACGAATTGGTCAACTAAGATTGCTACAACAACTTCAATTTACCAGGGCAAAGACATTGTCACAGCCGGGTTTCTTTGGAGCTGAATCATCATCATGAACTACATCCCCTGCCGAGATAAGAAGCGGGAAAGAGAAAAGGGAAATGAGAGCTGCACAACAGAGTAACGAGCTCAGCTTCTTCTGCAAATCCATGGAGTCCTCCTTCCTTCCTTCTACGTGCTCTGCCTCTGCATCACAATTTTTTAGAGAAGAGAAGACCGTCGGAAATCGGAATGGAGAAAGTGACAAATTTGATAAAACTTCCTCGTTTTCGGCGGTTGCTTAAAATATGGGTAATTATCTAAACTGGTCATGTCACTTTCTCGTTTATACAAAATGGTCTCATAAGACCATCCAGTGTAACTGTGTAAGGGATGGAAAAGGGAAAAAGGGTATGCCATAGTGGATGGTCTAATCCTTTCCAGAATGGTATTCGTAACTTTAATATTTTGTTAAAAACGGTTACTTTCGTATTTCTTCATAAGTTTAAGAGGTTGACCTATCATTAGTGTGAGATAAAATAATTGATCATATCTTGGGTTTTAAGCATAGGACCAACAATCATATAAAATATTAGTAAACACATAACAAAATTCAGCTAAATACTTAAAATTAATTCAATACACTCGAAATAGCTAATACCCAATTTAAAAATATATGCACATGTCAAACTATACGAGAACCGAAATAAAAGAAGCGCGCACACACGATTTACATGGTTTCCTCAGCCATAATAGCTGAGACTAGTCCACGGAGAGGGAGCCTCTCGAGTCTGTAGTATTGAGAGTTTGCATCACACAAGTTACATACAAATTGGCCAATTCTCCTATATATACTAGGTCGATCAGAAACCCTAAACACAAAGGGATAACTTAGTAAGTAACCATAACAATGATTACTTACTTAATACAAAGACAAGCTTACTTCAACACCCTCCTTCAAATTGATGGTGTTGACGCAATATCAATTTGTGAGCCAGGAACTAATGACGCGCTTTGGAGACCGCCTTGGTGAGCAAATCTGCAGTATGATCTTCAGAAGTAATGTAGGAGAGAGTAATGAGACCTTCGGCAACTAACTGAAGAATATAGTGCATATGAACTTCAATATGTTTGGTACGATCATGGAGAACCAGATTGGTAGCAATAAGGATAGCACTCGTGTTGTCAGCCAACAGATGCATCAGAATCACACAGTCGATACCGAAATCAACCAAGAGACGCCGAAGCCAGACAAACTCTGAAATAGCCTCAGACATCGAGTGATATTCAGCCTCAGTGGCGGACTTGGAGACGCGTTCCTGCTTCTTGCACTGCCACGAAACAAAAGGGGACCGAGCTTAATACACAAACCTGAAGTAGAACGCCGAGTGTCCACACATCCTGCATAATTTGCATCAGCATATGCCTCAAGAGTAGGGGTCCCAACTGCATGAAAGAAAAGACCAACACTCTGCGTTCCCTTCAGATTTGTCGTAATACACAATGAACAGCAGTGAGTTGGACAGTGCGAGGTGCTGTCATAAATTGTATCACTACTTGAACTACATATGATATGTCAGGCCGTGTATGTGTCAAATATTACAAACTCCCAACAATGCTCTGATATTGAGAACCATTAGGAAGTAACTCTCCATCGGACTGTCGAAGTCGAAAGTTCTGTTCCATGGGAGTGGAACACGACAAACAGTCATCCATATATGCAGACTCCAAAAGATCAACAATGTATTTGCATTGGCCAACCAGTAAGCCCTTAGGACTGCGTTGAACCTCCAAACCCAGGTTGAACGAAGTGTGAAGAGCCGTAGTGAGCTCCTGAATACCCAACTAATAGTCCCCACTAACCACTGTATCATCCACATAAATAATAAGAACAGTAAGACCACGACTAGTACTATGAAGAAACAAGGATGGGCCATTCTCACTTTGGACAAAGCCAACCTGAAAAATAGTGGCATGAAACTTCTCAAACCAAGCACGAGGTGCTTGTTTGAGGCCATGTAATGAGCAACGAAGAAGATAGACATGAGAGGGATCACCTTTTGTATACCCGGGTGGTCATTCCATGTATATAGTCTCCTTCAGGTCACCTTAAAGGAAGCCATTCTTTACGTCTAATTGTACTAATAACCAACCCTTCAAAGTAGCAACAACCAAAAAACTCAGAACAATCTGCATCTTCGCAACGGGTGCAAATATTTTGTCATAGTCAATGCATACTCTTGCTTGACCCTTGAGCGATGACACGAGCCTTGTGTCATTCAATAGACCCATTCGAATGAAGCTTGAGATTGTAAACCCACTTGCATCCAATAACAGAATATTCAGGATGACGGGGAACTAAGTCCCACGTGTGAGACACATCAAGAGCTTCCTTCTGCACGTCCATGGCCTTCTCAACGTCCCTTGGCTTGTTTATATGTAGCAGGAACAAATACAGACTGAGTGGAGAAAGCGACAAAGTCTGAGTGACGCATCGTTGGGTGCCCTTTGTTGGTCCGTAAGGATCATCGAGGTGGGGGTGTGTCGGGCAAGGAAGAACCACCTGATGATGAGTCCGTCGAGCTGGCCAAATGGGATGACGACAAGTCGACTGAAGAAAATTCAGAGTTGCCAGAGCTTGATATTGATGTTGAAGAAGCAGAAGAGGACGATCCAAATCGAGAGGACAAGTCGGATGCTGAAGACAAAGGAGAGGACAAGAGAGACCCACCAGAAGAGTCATCCCCACCATCGTTGTCGGGAGCCAGAGTGGTGAAGGGAAAGACAGGAGAATCCGTGAGAAAGGCCAAGTCGAGCTGTTCTTCCCTAGTATGTGACCCATAGTAAGAGGTATGTTCAAGAAACACAACGTGACATGAGATATGTATCCTTTGATTCTCAACATCATAGCACACATAACCTTTAAGTTTGTCACTATAACCCATAAAAACACACTTGGCGACTTTTGGAGTGAGCTTTGTCCGCTCGCAGGGTGGCAGGAGTACATAGCAGATGCAGCCAAACACATGTAACCACTTATAGTTCGGAAGGCGGGAGTAAAGCGCCTCATATGGACTCTGTTGTTTGAGAACTGGTGTGATTTGAAGGTTGATCAAGTACACCACAGTGTGTACAGCTTGAACCCATAAATGAGGTGGCACGTGAGAGTGAAATAGGTTAGCACGAACGAGCTCCAAGACATGTCGATGCTTCCACTCCACCAGTCCATTATGTTAAGAAACGCCTGGACACGATTGTTGAGCAAGTATTTCGTGTTCCCTGAACAATGCGAGCAGTGGGTTCGAAGTGAACTCACCTTCGGGATCAGACCGAATGATCTTTACCTGGTTTCCAAACTATGAATCATTTGAAGGAATTCCTTAGCCGCAGAAAAGAGATCTGATTTTTGACGGAGGACGAAAACCCATGAATACTTCGTCACATGATTGATGAAAAGCTGCAAAATATCTGAACCCCAATCGAGATGTCACGGATGAGGGTCCCCAAAGGTCTGTATGCACGAGATCAAAAGGATCAGAATAGACTGTATCACTAGTTGTGAATGAGCTTTGAGGTATTTTCACCTGAATACAATGCTCGCGAACATTCCCAGGCGACGGGATAATCTGATTAGAAAGCCATTTATTCTTAAACATAGTTGAGAGTCGAGAAGAATGTGGATGGTCTAACCGACGATGCCACAAATCCCAATAAGATAATCCAACATAATAAGTTGTAGGAGAAGATAAAAGGAGGCTTGCATGACAAAGTCTTTGAATCATAGCTTTTACTAATAGAATATGATAATCCAGAATCACAAGTTCCATCTTCACCCATCACCACTTGTACACTTGATAGACCGTTAATTACACATGTTTTTACCCCTGTTCTTGCACCGTTTGAGGTGTTGATTCTCGTGTTTTAGGCCGATTTCACGCTAGGTTGTGCTTGTTTGTGATATTTCAGGTCCTAGTACGTGAATGGAGGCTTGGGAGCGAGTTTGGGGTCGATTGGACGAAGATCGGACGCGTGGCGAGGTGTCAAGGAAGCCGCATGGGCAGCCCGGGACATCACACGGCCGTGCAACATACAATTGTGGCCGTGTGATTTTTGCCGAGAGCAAACACGGGCAGGATGGAAATTTCACACGGCCATGCGACCCTGGCCGTGTGGGATGGCTGAAGTGCAAATAATTGATCCGCTGCGTTTTGACTCACACGGGCAACTGGGTGAGCTGCACGGCCGTGTGGCCTGCCCGTGTGAGTCGGGAAATATTGGTTTTTCAGCCAATTTCGAGCCAAAAAGTGGGGGATCGGATTTTCAGAGCAAAAACAGAGCCCTAGAGAGAGAAAGTACGAAGAACACATCCTAGAAGCTATCTTGGAGCTGGGTTTCGTCAAATCGAGCTTGGAGATCATCATAGGAGTGGAAATCATCATCCCGGAGATGATTTTCCTCATCATTATGAGTATGACTACTCCGATTACTTCTTTTTTCTCTCTCTCTATGGAGTAGAACCCTTCTCTCACTTGCGTATGAAGAACCCTAGTTCCTGGTGTTAGGGATTTGATTGTAATGACTTGGGATGATTATACTGTTTGGTTTTAATCGAATGATGCATGTTTATTGAATTGATTGAAGTCTGATAAGCTTTTCTTGATTTCTGCTGCAACCTGAGATAGATAGAATCTGATTAGGTTGTTAGAGCCTCTTCATTGGATAGTAGGAGATTGTTTATACGAGAGTTAGCCAGTTTACTGCTTTGTACTGGAATTCAATTCCAGTAGTGGAGTTCCGTGTTCATAGCTTCGGCTTTCTATCCCGGTGAAGACTAGTCGTCTGCCGGGTAGTTAGACTGAGAGGGCTTGGTCAGCTTAAGAGATTCCAAGCTACTGTCGGATCTTCCGCAGTCTAATCAACAGTAAATCAACCCAGGGAAATTACAATTGAACCTAACTAAGGGGCTAGGGGGACTCATTCCCGAGTGACTCTTACCTGCTTGAGAAAACCGAATAATTTCCTGCTTTTCTTACTGCTTTTAGTTTAAACACAAATCACTCGACTTAGTTGGCTAGATAATAGACAATCACGGAGTAAGCAGTAGATCTAGACCCCGGGTTGATAATAGAACTTGCCTGTTACTGCATTCCCGGACTGCGATTACACTTTGTCGCAGTTTGGTGTTGTGTTTTAGCGTGTCAACACTCCCCTTCCCTTTTTCGACCAACTCACCATGCAACCCATGCAAGCTAGCAGCCATGTGCTCCTCTCCACGAGAGTAGCTGTCGAACTCAAAAACTCGACTTCTCTTAGTCCCCTTCCTATCACCTTTAGGGGTGGCAATGGGTAAAATAATAGTGGGTATAACCCGCACCCGCCCAGTCAAGCCCGCTTTGAAACCCGTCAATGTCGGATATGGGCCGGGTTCGGGGAAACCCGAAATATGCACAGTAGCGGGGATGGGTCGGGGATGGATATGAGACTATCCGCCCCGGCCCCGTCCGATATGCATACATGGCCCATTATCTTCTCTCAAACCAGCCAATCCTGATCCATTACCTTCCTCATTCCAAGCCCAAAAACTAACCCTAGACTAACTCTCTATAACCTCCCTGATGTTTTGGCCGCCCCCTTTCTTTCCTCCCCTTTTCTCTGATCTCTCTTCTTCACCATAAACGAACTTCAAGGAGAAAAGAACTAAACATTTTCTTCATCTTTTCCCTGTGCTGCACTGCATCGACCGCCGCCGAACTCTTCATCAAGCGAAGTGACGGGAGGAGCTTTGACATTCAGTGGTCGCTGCATCTCCAGCCGGCACGCCATCAATTGCCGCCTCTGCTTTGCGGTGATGGTCTGAGTCTGTACGACTACGTGACGCCGAACTTGAGATCAATCGTCGGCAGTCCTATGAGTGCGGCGGGTAAAACCCGGCCAACCGGGGAATGCCCAAACCCGCATGGGTATGGGGATGGGTAGTGATTTAGTATCCATAGCTTATTCCGGACGGGGACGGGTAAAACCCGTTTGTATGTGCGGGCGGGGATTGGGGAGCCACTATCCGTACCCATACCCACCCGTTGCCATCCCTAATCACCTTCCCTATTTTCATGTCCTGCACCACGCAACTATTTGCATAAAATATTACACGACATCCATCATCAGCTAGTTGCCCCACATAAACTAGATTAGGCACCAATTTGGGAACATATAAAGTGTCACGAAGAGTTAGGAGATCATTACACACTGTACCAATCCCATGAACTGAAAGTCGAGACTCATCTGCTACCTGTAATTCCATACTAGGACCAGATCCTATATCCTCAAACAACTTACGCGAACTTGTCATACGATTAAATGCAGCTGAATCTACATGCCAAGAAGAAGAACCAGATTTCTTACTAGTAGAGAACACTGAAGTCAACGCAGTAGGAAGAGATTCCTTGATTGCCTCCTGCACTAGTTCGTCATATCGCAACAGGAGATACATAAAGGCTGCAGATGAGGAAGCTTGTTCCGTAGCATATACAAGAGCGGGAAGAAGACCAACTGTCGACCGAGCTCCACCCATTCCTCCACTAGGATTGCGGTTACCCCCACGGCGTGACAAAACAAGACAATCCCCAATCATGTGACCGGATTTTTACAGTAATACAAGTATTGCGTTTCTTGCAATGATACTGAATATGCCTCGGTTCCTTGCAGAAGTTACAAATGACAATACCTGTAGGAGTTCGTTGAAATTGGGGACGACCAAAGTGAATAGCAAAGGTCGTACCCCCATTTGAGGAATAAATGTCAAGCTTAGCTTGACTTCGCAGCCGAGTCTCTTCTCGTAGAAGCTCACCAATAACTTCCTCGATAGATGTGACATTCCTATGCAGAAGTGACGCCTGTATACTCTCAAGTTCGGGTTGGAGTTCATTAAGAACATCATCAAGGGAGTGCCCTATCTTTCCTTTAGCATGATGCCTGACTCAGCCGTATCAACAAAGGTGGAGATTAAGGGATTCTGTTCCTGATGCCATAGATGGACAATCGCTTGATAGTAGGTCTTAATATCTTGATCACCTTGTTCAAGCCTAGCTAGTTTCGTCTCCAATTAGAACTTCCGCGATGCATTGGACTGATAATGGAGTGTCGCAAGATGTTTCCACATATCATGGGCATTAGAGAACCCACGAAGACTCAAAGCGATGCCGGGTTCGATAGACGATAAAAGTGCAGTTATGATCTGAGAATTGCTAGATTCCCAGTCGCCATTAACCTTCTAAGCCACATCATCTGCCAGTTTTGGGGATGTCCCATCAAGAATAGGGAGTAGCCTTCGTCCTTGAGCATAAATCCTGAACTGGAACTCCCACAATACGCACAACAGCTAGAGGAAGGGGAGCTCCAAAAATTGATCTAAGAGAAAGATACCGTCCCACACAAAGGCCTGAGCACAAGACAACGATCACCGCACTACGAAGAAGACGCAGAATTACACAAAGATGGAGAATAGAAAGGCCGCAACACCAAAAAACCTCAAAAGAACGAAAACCTATTGCAAAAATCCGGGAACGCAACACACACAAACCATCCACAATTCTGTTTAGAAGTTGAGAATAGGCTCTGATACCATGTCAAACTATACGAGAACCAAAATAAAAGAAGTGTGAACACACGATTTACGTGGTTTCCTCAACTAATAGCTTAGACTAGTCCACAGAGAGGCAGCCTCTCGAGTGTGTAGTATTGAGAGTTTGCGTTACACAAGTTACATACAAATCAGCCAATTCTCCTATATATACTAGGCCGATCAAAAACCCTAAACACAAAGGGCTAACTTGGTAATTAACCATAACAATGATTAATTACTTCATTACAAAAACGAGCTTACTTCAACAACACATTCAACAAGTGTGATTTTTTTTTTCGAGTTAAATTTGACTCACTTATTGCTCATATGAAATATTTATTCTTTTTGTCTAAGAGATATAAAAAAATATAAGAAAAAACAAACAAACAACACCCTACCTCCCTATACTCCCAAGGTGACATCACAGTGAAACCAACCTAGAAATTCGAAGGATGCTAACTCTGAAGGTGACAGAAAAATTATTTATGTGCCACTTTGTGGTTAGCCGTAGTTCAAGTTGCGGCTCGGGGAATCACCTTGAAGTCAACACCAATAACAACGGAGGAGACCAACTAACGACATTCATGAAGAGAACCAACCAAAAAATATCATACAATACCATATTGTAGTTACGAGTTATGACGTCAGAATCGCCTTCCACAATCACTCTCGATATCTATGATTGACTACAACGATGCATGTGCAGGGACCCATCAACCAACCGATGTATTGATTTTGTAGACCTTGTCAAATCGTTACAACACATCCATTGTTTAGAATACATTGTTTTATGTTTTATTTTTCTTTACTTATTTAACATAAACTGTTACTTAAATTGAATGATTGAACAATATCAATTTTTGACTAAGATTGTTGGGATAATTGAACCCATTTTTTATTTACAAATTGAAAACAGAATCAAACATATTAAACATTGTATTTTATAGTACACCAAATTCATTAATATCATTAATACATTTGTTTACCTCTACAGACTGCTTAATCTTTGGTCTCTTGGTTTGTGGTTGCTCAAATTCTAGGCATGCTCAAGCACCAATGGAAGAAGGCTCATATTTAAAAACCAATTCTAGGGGAAAAAAGTCTACACAAACTATTCCATTACAGGTATATGCAGTAAATTTAACTTCTAATTATCTCAGGGCAAAGGTTAGGAGTGTCTTTCTCGATCATGTGTATGTAGGAATAACTGGAGACGGAAGATGTTTGTTCCGTTCTGTGGCTCATGGGGCTTGCGTAAGATTTGGAAAAATCGCCTCCGAGTGAAACCCTTCAGGTAGAATTAGCAGATGACTTGCGTGATAGAGTGAGTATCTAACTTGGAGTTCTCATAATTGGATATCTAGTTAAGCAAGAACCCGTATGTTAATTAGTACAATATATGGCTTCATTGCTCATCATTATCAAGACTTGATCTCTCAATTTGATGACATTGGATTGTGATGTGAGTCATGACCAATCGTTCATAACTTTCAAACATTTCTAGCCAGTTCTGCTCCTTGTAGCATTGCACTCTCTGAAAAGATCTTGCGCGATAATATTTGTCACATTATTGATGAGTTTATCAAGCAAAGACAAGAGACGGAATGGTGGAAGTTAAAAAATTTGCCGAGCTCATGGCTGCTTCATAGTGTTACCATTTTTCATCATAGCATTATTTAACACAAGTCAGAATGAAGATTATTCTTTCACTTGGACCAAGATGTCGATTTGAAAATAGTACATGTTCTTGAAGTTTGCTTCCTCTATCACAAATTGCCTTCTACCGAGTAGTGTTTTTCGTTCGTATTTATAATGGAGTAATGCATGTTTGTGTACATGAAGAACCAGCAGAATGCGTACAAATATCATCGTCTGAATGTGGTTGTAAGGCTCTATTCAAACAACTTCATCGTCTGTGTCAGGTTTGTAGAAGGTGATTTCGACACTTATGTGAAACAAAGAAGGAAGCCACATATATGGGGAGATGAACCAGAACTGTTCATGGCATCCCATGTTCTGAAGTAAGCCACATGTATGGGAAGATCAGATATCGTCAATCGCATGCATTTGTGTGTAGCGACCACCTGCGGTTGTGTCCATCTGGTGTTGGAATAGGAGTGAGATGATTTGGAATATCTGGAGGTACAAATGAATGAAACCGCACCCAAAATTTTGCAGGGTCAGCTTGCCAAAATTTAACTCACACATTGTAGAGTTAATAAATTTAGTCTGAATCTTGAATGATATATCATCTAGTAAGCAAGGAGTGAGAAAAAAAGTAGCTTATTGGTGCTTGTGAGGTAGCTCAATGGTAACTCACAAGTTAGCTGTATGTAGTAAGCTTGTTTGATATTTGAGTAATTTTTGATAAAGTCAAGCTGGAGATGGAACTTGTCCAAGCTGAAGTGTTGTTGAATTGATGTTTGCAACTTTAGGATTGTCACTTGTGATGATTTTATCAGTTGTGAAATTGATTAGAATGATTAAAGGTGATGCCTTTTAGTATTGACTTCATTCGTGAAAACTGCATTCAGGATGCCCATCAGCGTATATATGTACGATGCGGATGCCAGTGGACTAATCTCGATTGCAGAATATGGTCAAGAATATGGCAAGGACATCCCAATTAGGGTTCTTTACTATGGTTCCTGTCATTATGATGCATTACAAATTCCTGGAAGGAAGCATGGTAAATGTAGGTTGTAGATGCTGGTTTAGGGGTAAATGGTAAAATAATGAAATTGTAACTTAATCCTTTCTATATACATTGTATTTGGTGGTAAAAGCAATAATGTATTGAAAGATTGTATCAGCACAATTGATACATTCATCATTTTCAGTTTCCTCTGCAGTTATTGCTACATAAGATGTCTGTGCCAAATAATTATATAGATAAAACCTTTCAGGCTACCTATTATATATGAAAGAAGATTCCAAGATCAGAGCATTTCTGACCTTCACTTTTTTCCTGTGAAATTATTCACTACTTAATTTTAGCACATAACTCTACTTTTGGAACTTGAGATCATCTTGGAATGCCATGCTTCTCCCATAGAAGTTGTTGGGAATGGTACTGTCGTGGCATAGTAGAGTGGCTTTCACGTGAAAACCTTATTCCTCCCCCAGCCATCCTCAAACCAACAACATGGCTGCTTTCCCGAGACAAACCTTCCAATCCAAGTTGAACATGGATGGTCAAGTGACCATTCACAAACTGATGAAGTCCAAGTGGGACCTACTTACAACACTTGGAGATGACATGCAGTTGTCTCTAAAGTAGCCCATGTCTCAAGAACCCAATGGTGTAAAACTTCTGCAGCTGTTGCTGCTTTCTTTAGGCTGAAGCAACTGTTGGAAGTATACAAGGTAGCTTCCTTGAACCTGAGTTTGAACATTGGTGTTGAATGATGGAATAGCATCAAGCCTGTGGTTTTGGCTTGCTCCATCGGATTTGTTCATGACCGACGACAAAGTTAAGTACATTGGGGAAGAAGTTGCTTGACTAGATGGATTATTGTATTCCAACCTTCCTCATTGGATGGCAGTGAAATAATGGCTTGGTTGCAGTTAACTTGTTTGTCTTCAGCAACCGTTTTCCCATTTCTAGACCTCCTTGAGGTAGCACCAGCTGTATGGTGAGCACTTATCCCCAACACAATCTTTGGCTGCTGCTCGTGGACAACATCAAATTTGGAAGGTAATCCAAACCCTACTTCTCTGCCATCGTCTTCATTTAAGCTCACTTGAATAATTGCCATGATGTACTGATAGACCGATAATTACACATGTTTTTACCCCTGTTCTTACACCGTTTGAGATGTGATTTCTCATGTTTTAGGCCGATTTCACGCTAGGTTGTGCTTGTTTGTGATATTTCAGGTCCTAGTACGTGAATGGAGGCTTGGGAGCAAGTTTCGGGTCAATCAGAGATCAATTGACGATTCGGGAGAAGAAACTCGGGTAAGACCTGAAGAAGAATGGATTTCTACCTCACTTTATGGACAAAGAATCATGCAAGCTTGTCATGAAAAGAAAGAGGACGAGACTACGAGCGTCTGGGTTCAAACGGCGACTGATTTGGAGTCCGGACGAGGGAGAAACGAAGCTTTGAACAGAAGCACAGAGAGAATTACGGGCAGCCCCTGCCTAATTACGGCCGTAATTGGCCAGGGCATGCCCGTAATTTATTGGCCGAGCCTTCTACCCAGAATTCCCTCGCGGTGATAAAATTACGGGCAAGACCCCAAGAATTACGGCCGTAATTCCCAAATTACTGGCGGTAATTGGGAAATTACGGGCGTAACTTCTCCTCCTGCAGCTTAAGTGAAACGCGCGTTTTGGTGCGAATTACGGGCAGGACGTGATTACGGCCGTAATTCTGCCCGTAATTCGCCCAGAGTCGGGTTTTTGAAGGCAGATTCGAGCAACAGAAGAGGAGAGCTGGGTTTTGGATCCCAAACACCCAAGGGACGAACCCTAGAGAGAGAGAGAGCGACTTGGAGACATTCTTGGAGCTATTTTGGAGGATTTCTTCGCCATTGGAGCTCGGGAATCAAGCTTGGAGATGGAGATTGAAGATCTAGATCAGATTTCTGCAGTCTCTCTCTTCTCTATGGAGTAACTTCCCTTCACTTAGGTTTTGAGGAACCCTAGTTCCATGAGTTAGGATCTTTCTTGTATGAAGTTTTGGATGCTATATTGTTTGATTATAATCGATTGAGGCATGATTTATTGAGTCAATTGGATCTTGATCAAATTCTCTTGATTTCTGCTTTAACCTATGATAGATAGAATCTGATTAGGTTAAGAGAGCTTCCTTGATTGATAGTGGTGAATTGGTTGTGCGAGAGTCAATCAATTTACTGCTTTGTACTGGAATTCATTCCAGTAGTGGAGATCTGTGTGAATCGCCTTAGCAGTCTATCCCGGTGAAGGCTAGTCGCCTGTCGGGTATTCTGTCTGAGAGGGCTTGGTCAGCTTAAGAGATTCCAAGCTAATTTAGGATCTTCCGCAGTTTAATCAACAGTAGATCAACCAAAGGTAATTGCAACTTGGACCTAATTGAGGAGCTAGGGGGAATCATACCTAAGTGAGTTCCCAACTTGTAATTAGTAGAGTAGTCAGTAGAGTAGTTTATCAATCAATCCTTAATCTAGTTTGCTAGATAATGAACTGAAGCTGAGTAATAGTAACTCTAGAGACCCGTGGATTCGATATTTATTACTTGTGCCACTATACTGCAGTCCCTTTCATTGGTTACACTTGGCCATTGTTAGGTGTTGTGTTTTAGCGTGTCAAGTTTTAGGCGCCGTTGCCGGGGACTTTCTAGATTATTAGGAAAGGCAGAAGTTTGTTACTTTAGCGTTTTTCTTTTCTTTTCCACCCTTGCTTTTCACTTGGGTGTTTTTTGTTTTTGTTGGTGCAGATCTGAATCATGGATCCTCATGGCTTCTCCAATCATTGGGGGTATCCACCACCATCCGAGTGGTATTACCCCGAGACCCCCTGGAGCAATCAAGGAGGAGAAGACTATGGATTCGGGTTTCAGTACCAACCCCCATCCTACGAAGAACAATCAGACCCCTGGGTATTTCAAGAACAATCTCCTTATCAAGAAGAATTCCTCCATCAGCCAGATCCAAACTATCACTTGAGGCTTCTCGTGGAGCAGATTGCTCGAGTACCTGAGACTTCCTTTCCAAAGATGGATATCCCAGACAATGCCCAAACTGGGTTCTCCTACCGTGAAACAGAGGAGACCCTCCTGAGCATAAAGAAGAGCCTCGAGGATCTTGAGAAAGCTTATGCACAACCTGCTCAAGATCACCCTTCTGCTATCATACTAGAAGAGGAGGAGGAAGTAGAAGGCTACAAGGACATTGTGGAGCAAACAGAAGTTATCACGGAGAGCTCCCGTGAAGATCATGATCAAGAATGTCATGTCGTAGCCGACCACCCCTTCCCACATCCCACACCAAGCTTTGAAGAGGTGGGCATGAGTGAGGAGATGCAAGAAGATCTCATGAAAGAAATTGCTTGGCAACTTGCTCTCCAATCCGTGCTAGAAGAAGAAGAGCAAGAAAGGGTGCAGAAAGAAGTTGTGGAGGATGACGAAAGTGAAGCAGGAGGAGTTCTTGATCATTTCCCAGGGGTGATACCACATGTAGAAGAAAGGGAGGTTGAAGAAGAAATTGGCGTCCAGGCTGAGGACGGAGTCGAGGTGGAAGAGGCCTGCACCGGCCACGAGTTACATGTGATATCTCCACCAAACTTCGAGGAGCTGCTTGGCAAGGACCCATTTGCAGTGTCTCTTTGCCAGACCAAGGCCACATCGACATCGGTCCCTCTTGGTGGACGCGATGGTGGCCAATCGATGCTGTCATATCTGGTTTGGGGCAATGAGACAAGAGAAGAGAAGAAGAGGTCTCGCGGGTGGAGACTTCATCTGCATCAAGTACATGAGCCTTCATCACCCGCCACACCACATGCTCGTGACTTGAGACTCCACCTCATCGACGAGAACCTCAACTTCAAGGAGGTTCTAGCATGGACCGAAACTTAGGAGCCATCGTCCGGCTCACGACGTGAAAGAAGCGCTTGTTGGGAGGCAACCCAACCAGTCGGTTTGCATTTCTTTCTCTATTTCTCCTCGGTTGAGTCAGTTTTGTTATTTGATTTTAGAGTCAATAACTCAACCTTTGTGAGATTTTGTGTGGTGTTTGTGTTCTGATTACTCTCTCTTCCTGGAATGCACCGCCTGCCCCGTCCATCATCATTCACCCTTGATCTGGTAACTTCGTTCTACCCTCCTTATCTTTCCTCCATTGAGGACAATGTCGTGCTTAAGTGTGGGGGGGTGTTCGATTATGTATGCAGGTGAATGTTTGGCTGTTTGTGTGCTTGGAGCCTAGTCCACTGTCCAAATTTCGATTTGAGGGCTCCAAGTACGTGTTTCCATGCAAATTGCCTGCTCAGTATGCTTTGAATTGACAGTCTCTATAGTAATGTGCAACCTAGGGAGGTAGTGTAGCACTATGGAGGATGTTGAAGTATAAGATTTTTCCTATCTAGCTCTCTGCTGTGTCAGTTGATTTTGTGAATTAGTGGAGCTAAGACCGTTGAATTCATGTGGTAATGTGGACTCTGTTTGAATTGTGTTATGGACTCGTGTATTGAACAGGGTGCTCATGTGGCAAATCAAAAGCAGTGGTCCTCCATGTCGAAATCATCAAAAATCTTAAACATGGGGTAAGCCCAACGTGTGTGGCACCGTTCATTGCACAAAATCGGGTTTTGGAAGAGATTTTAGTGATCCTTAGTGGGGTACTCCTACAAGGTGAAGCTAAGCTGTCTCTAGTACAAGTAAAACTTCCTCCCGTTGAGCGGTTTGCCTACTCGAGGATGTGTTTTTAAGGGCACGGATAGAGCTTCCGACCCCCCTTGATTTCATTGACCCTCCACACGAGTTGAGGAAAAGGAGTTAAAAGAAGTGCTCTGGCGAGCGCCAGATGTACAGAAATTGCTCTTGCTCGACTAATAAGGGTCGACCGTGCAAAAGACTGCAGTTGGAACCCCACCAAATGAAAGAAAAAATGTAAATGAAAGTGAGAAAAAGGGGTTCCAACGGTGAAATGAAGTGAAAGAGCACCCCGGTACAACGAGTCCTTGGTTGTGAATGGTGTGAGTCCCTTTATCCATGAACTGAC